GATTACAAGAAAAGAGCAAGTAAGTGGTTTTGGAACGCAATTTCAACCAAAATGGCTCAAGTAAGGCCATTTTGGCTACTAGGATGCCTATTTTCTATATTTCTTGTCTATTGAACTCAAAAATGGCTCAATAATAATTGGGGTTAGTTAGTAGGAATGACCTTCGATTGGAGGTAAAAGCTCCCTTGTTTGCCATTCCTCTCAAACAAAACATCATATTTCTGCACAAGTGAATGGTAATCATTTACACATAATCACAAAAGATATTAGAAAATTAAACAAAAGTGTGTGAAAATTCAATTTGGCTCCTTCTCATGGATAAAGAACTGTGATTGAGACAATATTTCCTGTGAAACATCCTATTTTAAGTGAACAATAATAGCCTTGTTCTCAAAGTGGCAATCAATCAAATAAACATTCACATATAACTGGAATGAAAAACTTCTTGAAACTACAGATAGATAAATAAACATCCTAATTTTGCCACTGAATTCACTATCCACTCTCGTGTATATTCACATTGGATATGATATCTAATTAAGAGAATAAGTTCAGTGTAACACACCCCCTTCAATATTAAAATGTTGTGAAGGAGTGGACATGTTTCCATTGCTTATCTTACGAGAGTTGCAAAACAAATCCCAAATCAAAACTCTTATCTACTTGTAACTCCATAGAAGAACCAAAAGAATGTAAAGCACATATCTTATATGCAGTTCATAAACACATTTTTTGTCAAGAATGTCAACTCAAAGATCAAAATTTCAGAAAGATATCAGATGAAATGCCTTACTTGCATCGGACTATAACTGGAGTTGGTTTCAGAGCCTTCGGCCCATTTCTTTTACAAAATTATCTTCTACAAACAGCATAAAAAATATGACATCACAACTTTGTAACTAGCAGCATTAGCAACAAAACTAGCCTATTTCCAAAAAAACAAATTACAATGTCTCAGTAATAACAGGAGGTGAAAGTTAAGATATACTTCATACTAAGCAACCTGGCATCTCAGTCAATTACACTTTTAACCAATACACAAATTTTTATATATTCCATTATGAATTTACACTAGCACTAGCACTTCATATATAATTTTCAAATTTAACCATCGGGATTGTGATATCTATACTCTATACAAATAGGATAAGAAACAAGCAAATTCAACAAGTATCATCCACACCAACCATGATAAATTGACAATAACTACAGTCAAACTAGCTGCTTAAATTGAGTACCCTTGTAAGAATTAACAAACTGCTTCAAACTTTTTTTTGCTAACAACTAAACCCAAAATAAAATATAATGCAACAATCACAATTTATTCACACTCCTCGGCGTCATGAATCATATCCGAAACCATTAATTTAGTATTCGTAGCTCATACTTAGTTTCCCTTCTTTGGAATATTCAACAATTTTCAATATTGTAGGCAATAACCAACAACAAAAAAATTCAACAAAGATAGAATCAAAATGATGCATCAACTAGTCATCTAGTAAGAACATCACTAAGCACGAAAAGATCGTATAAATCAATATACATTGCAGAAATGCCGTATCATCATGCTTCCAAATTGACCATCAACTCAAAATTTCAACAAACATAGATTAGTTGAAGCACATAAATGACACAAATTGCCAACAATGTAGCACAGCAATTAAAACCCTAAACCCATAAAACTATCAAAACTAAATTCCTTAAACCCAAATAGCCCAGAAGCCGAAAACCACAAAGAACAACCAAATTGAAAAAAACAAATCAATCAAACAACATTACACGATTCGAAACCCTAAATCCACCAAAAAGTCGAACGAATTCATCAATGGAAGTATATAAGTAAAACCTAATTGCTACTTACCTTCGGTTGAAGATGTTTCAATGGAGGGAGTTATTGCCGGAGTACGACGCGAGTATTGTCTTCAACGGAGGTGAGAAAGCTCGCAGCACTTCAATGGAGGAACAAAGAGGGGAGTTGCTGAATGAAGAAGGGGGGAGGGAAGAACGAAGAACAGGAGGGAGTATACAGGAGGCTTGAGAAAGGAAAAACCGAGTTTTTTGTTTCACAATTGGCAACGGTTAACCGTTGCCAAATCTAACCCTTTTAATTTATTTATTTTTTAAAAATAAGTATTTGGCAACGGTTAACCGTTGCCAAAATTTAAGAGTTGGCAACGGTTAACCGTTGCCAACTCTAACCTATTTATTTATTTATTTTTTTTTAAAAAAAAGAAACAGTTGGCAACGGTTAACCGTTGCCAACTCTGAATTTTTAATTGGCGCTCATTTTAATTGGCAACGGTTTTCATGAACCGCTGCCATAGGGGGGGTGCCTATTTAGTTTTTTCTACTAGTGGTATTAAAAGCGCCACATAAGCAAAGGTATTACTTCAATCAATTAGAAATTAGATTTGTATCTTATTTTAATTAGAATTTAAAAAATCATTTGCCACTTAAGAAAAAGTGACGAATAAAATTTAAGATTTTACAACATAGGTTAAAACAACTTTTAAATTATTTAAAAAGCTAAAATTTATCATTTGATATTCTGATTAAATTATTTTAAAAAATTATCTTTTGAAATTAATCGTTCTATCTAAATATCCAATGAATGTGATAATATTTTAATAAATTATTTTAATTTTAAATGGGTAATAAAATTAATCAAAAAATTTAAAACGTATAGTCTAAGGGAAAAAAAAAAATTATCTTCTCCATACATTTATGTAAAATTTAGATAAAAAAAATTAAAAAATGATACAAACTTTTTTTTTTAATATTATCATCAATTATAAATTGAAGATATACTAAAAAAAAAGGTATTAAAAAAACCCCTAGCCTCCTTCCCTTCTCTCTTCTCTCATAAACCTTAGCCTTCATTATCAATTTTAAAGGGGCTTCCATTGGATTTTATCTGTGGAAAAACCCAAATCTTTCACTAGTAGAAAAAATGAAAACCGCACCCCCCTTTTCGCACCGGTTCTTGTAAACCGGTGGGAATAGAAATGGGCGGGATTTGGAAAATTACTTTTCGCACCGGTTCCTTATAAACCGGTGCCAAATTGTTTTGTAAAAAAAAAGGGGGGGGGAAGGAAGAGATTTCGCATCGGTTCGAAAAGATTATTTAGGACCGGTTCGAACCGGCGTGCAATATAAACCAGAAACCCGCCTAAGTTTAATTATTTCGCGAAACCTTCTTCTTCCTTCAATTCATTTCCCCTGCTTTTCCACATTGAATTCTTCGTTCCTTCTCTCGTTCTCGCCTAGCATCACTATGGCTATCCTTCATTGAAGCGCACTCTGAGCTTTCTCACCTCCATTGTCGCCAAGGTCAATTTCTTTTTTCTCTCCATAGCCCTCCTACATTGAAGCGCATTCAGAGCTTTCTCATCCCGATCTATTGAAGCAAATTCAAGGGTTTTCTCACCTCCATTGTAGCAGCTTCGAGGTAAGATTTTTCTTGTGGTCTACTTAATCCCTCGAATTCATTCGCAATCTAGGGTTTGTCGTTGATTTGCTAAATTTTAGGGCTGTGGTAATCTAGGGTTTGTCATTGAAGCGCGCACGACTCTACCTCCACCACAACAGCCTCCTTGTCACGGCGGCATGGCCTTCTTTTTCTAGGGTTTATCGTCGATTGAGGTTTGATTTATTCATTGCTGTTATTTGCTTAAAGGTATGCTTATTGTTGGAGAGTTCTATTTGTTTGGTGATGTGGTTTCTTCTTGACAGTTGAATTATTGGTGATAAGTTGTTGTAATACTCTTAAAAGGTTTGTGCTAATTTAGTGTCATGATTTGCTTAAAGGTTTTGACTTCTTTATTTTGTTTCTTGTTGCTTTAGCTCTTGCAGATGTTTTGTGTATGTTTATGCTTAGTGTTTGAATCGTCTAGTAGATTATTTGTTGATTTCGCTGGCGAAATTCTTTAAAGGTTTGTGCTTATTGATGATTGATCAGGAGTGCTGATGGGTAACCAATTTTTTTGAATTAGGGTTCTTTGGTTTTATATTTGTAGAGTGCAGTTATTGGAAGGTGAACAATGCTGTTAGTTGATTTTGTTGATCATTGAATAGGTTTGTCTATTTGGTATGCTTGATCATTTGAGTTGATTGATTACCAATTTTTTCGAATTCGGTTTTTTGTTTGGTTTGATTCTTGTTGAGCATGCAGTTGCTTATTGGTTGTTGACTAATCGGTGATCAAGTTAGCTGAATATAAAGGTTTTGCGCTATTCAAATTTTTCGAATTAGGGTATTTTTTGGTTTGATTCTTGAGCATGCAGTTTTTTGTTAGCTGTTGAATATGTGGTGATCAAGTTGGCTGAATAAAAAGGTTTCGGTTAATTGAGGTTTGATCTATTGGCTCATTGATTATAAAATTCTTCAAACTTAGGGTTTTTGGTTTGATTTTTGATTATTAGAAAGGCTTGCAGGATTGGTGTTTGATCTCTAGAGCTGTTATGATTTACCGTTTTGTCTGTTGCTGCACTGTCCTTTGTTACATAAAAATGTGGCAGAGTTTTGGGCAGCTACTTTTGCATTTTTTTCAAGCTTGTGAATATTACCAGTTATCACCAAAAATTATCCACAAACCTATCTTAACCAAAAAAAATTGGGTAAACATATAAATTCTATATAACTAATCTGATATTGTAGTTTGTTTGACTTGGTATTAATTAATTTCAGATTAGTGATTAATTTTACGAATATTATTATTGTTAATGGTGCTTTTAGTGACTAATATGGCTAACTACCCGTACACCGGGACTTGCAAAGAAAAAATTGCCTTGCGGTGAGGAGATGGGTATATGATTGAAGTTTAAGGTTTGAAGTCATTATAATCAGTTGATTTATTGGTGGAATTTCCTTTGCCTTGACTTGCTTCTTTGCTGTTAAGTTATTGGTGATCAAGTGGGTTATTTGCTAAAAGGTTTTCTTATTACTGGATATTTCTTTTTATTTGGTCATGTGGCTATTTCTTGACAGTTGAACTATTGATCATCAAGTTGGTGTTGTGTTAATTGTTTCTTCTATGAAGCATTTGGTCTAAGGTGGTGTAGTGCTCTGCAGATATGTAAGTGCTATCCAGGTAGGGCTTCTCCTAAGATTTTATTGTTATTTGTTATTTAGTTAAAATCAAGTCATGGAATCTCTTGGTCCATTATACCAGCGATCACATGGCCACAAAATTGCACTTCAAACTTCTGAGACAGGCTAAGGAACCTTTTCTTACAACTTTATACCCATTATTGTCTTCTTTAGGTCATTTATTTATTACGGGGTAATGTTGAGTTGTTATTTTGTTGGATAGATATCACATCCGTGTTGCATGCTTGCTGGAGATTACAATGATTCGTTTCTACTGTGCTTTCTCTACATCTAGTATGGCAATAGGAAAATTCATTTGTTAACTATTTCTTTTTTGTGAGTTGATTAGTTTCAGCTGCCTGGTATGTGTGCTTATCCTTATTATGATCATTTACTCACACTATCAAAGCTATGGAGCCATTTTTCTCTGTTTTACTGTCTGCTGCATTTTTGGGAGAGGTATATTTCACATAATTTTCATGTGTTTATTTTTACATACATAGAATTGTTGAAATGTGAAAGATTCTCTGATGAGTAGGATTAGACATTGTTTAGCCAGTGGTTGAAGTATTTATTATGTTTTCGCTTGTGATTCAATTTATGTGTGGGTTAATTTTCATATCCTTCATTGCGGAATCCCACTCCTTGGGTTGTGCTTTCACTTCTTCCCATTGTTGGAGGGGTGGCTCTTGCATGTGTGACTGAAGCCTCTTTAAATTGGTCAGCGAATTAACTTTATGACAAGATTTTATGCTTCCTATTTCCAAGGATCCCGCTGGGTTTTCAGCATGAGTACTATCTGAACCATTTGCTTATTGTGTTTTTGTTTTCATGAAGGGCTGGTTTTTAGAGTGCTATGGCTTCTAATGTGACAAACCAATCCTGTAATGTCCTTAGCAAGAAGGTCATGGTAAAGAAAGAGGTAATTCCTTTTTCTTTTTTTTTGGATTGGTTTTTCTTACATATTGAGAAAGCTTCATAATGGGGAATGTCTTACCTTTTCCTGTTTCTTGGTGTAAGAGTAGTTTTCTTTATTTTGCACAGTACATTCAATACATTGATATTCTTAATCATTTATTTGTTTGATTGATGTTTGAGAGTTTGAGTTAATTTCATTTTTTTTCTTTGACAGGAATTAATGAACAATATTACACTCTTCTCCATAATAACAGTAATGTCCTTTATACTATTAGCCCCTGCGATTATTTTCATGGAAGGTGTCAAATTTACTCCTACATACATAGAAGCTGCTGTAAGTGTACCCTCCGGGCTAACCCTCCCTTCAGCGACGATGGTATGAATTATAGGATCTTAAAACTGCTGTCATCTATATTATTTCCTCACAAAAATGCGAAATACAATCATCTTTCCATGCTTTTAGTTCTTATCTGGTCTTAATTGTTCTTTCTTATGGCACCATTCTGCATGCCAATACATGCATGCCTTGGTAAACAATTTTGTTTCATTGTTAGATTTTCTTTGGTGTAAATCTGTGAATGTATGGATCAATTTTATGAAATGATTTTCTTCATTTCTTCATTTCTTCTGCAAGCAGGCGTTAAAAATGTTGGTTCTGATGATTCTGCAAACCGATCTCAAGGTGGAAAGAGAAGGTACTTGGTTATACAATTGTATACTTCGTATTATATAACAATGAAAAATCGATCTACTCTGTACCACTGTAGTTAGAACTGTGTAGATTCACTCAGTCTTCTGTTTCTGACAGTGTCGTATCTGCGGTATTTCCTTCTATTTTAACTATAGGTCACTCTCTGTGTTCTACACTGAGAAAGAAATTCAGCAATGGCGTGAAGAACGCAAGAAAAATTTTCCTTCAAAAGGCAATGTGGAAAAGGTTGGATTACAGTGTCCAGATTTGAATGCTTTCTGTTGATTAGCTTTATTTCATTTCCTCAAGGGTTGTTATGTTATTTGCAGAAGCTGGCACAAAAGCAAGCAAATGCTGATGCTGTAGATGAAGATGCTAAGTTACGACGTCAAGTATGGTTTTCCTTTTTATTTATAAATTGACAACTTTTATAGGGTTTGCTTCTATTATTTTCTCAAGGATATGTGTTGGGTATGGCGTGGTGCAAAAATGTCATTCAATAGTTACTATCTCAAGGATTATTCCTTGATGACAAATACGAAGTATGAATTATAGATATTCTTTAAGATATATGTTTTTCATAAACATATAAAATGTCTCTACCCTTGTTCCCGTCAATTTGAAGAAAAGAAAAAAAAATGTCAATCATCGAAATGCTGGAAATCTGGAATTGTCTCATATTTGCAAAGAGGGGATTTTAACCTCTTGTGCGATGTAGTTTTAATTATTTGGAGGAAGGTCCTCACAAATTATAACAAGAGAGCATAACTATAATAGACTGGATTCATATCAACTTGGACTCACATCTGAGTGATAAAAAAGGAGGTTAACAATGCTTGAATTGTGCTGTGTTTGCAATCTACAATTTAAAGTTTTGAGTATTTGTCTGTTTGTGCCAGATTTGGGTTGTTCTATTCTAGGGTCTACCATGAAAACTTTGCACATATTTGGAGGTTTCAAATCAACTGCATTATACTGACAAGCTTCCTGTACATATTCATTTGATATTAGTTATCTTTGCTTGGGGTCAGGATGTTATTATGACCTCCATGTAGGCGATATTGAACATATTTTCAAATCTGGTCACTGTTACCATTTACATGCAGTTTGATTTCTCATTTTCTTTGTTTGGCAATTGCAGCAACTAAAGGATGTATTGGCAAAGCAAGTTGAGTTGGGTTTTGTAAGTTCCAGAAATTCCATCCCACTATCTGTTGGATCCAGAGCACCAGGCTCATGGCAGGGATAAATCTAGCAGGCCATTGAACAAGGGTCGCTTCCAAAATAATGGGCGATTCCAGAATAGATTTGATAAAGGGCGAAATTATGACAGCAAAGATCGGTTTACCAGAAGGGAAGGCTTTTGTAGAGCAGGAGGGTCTCGTCTTCATGGAGACTTCTGCTCTTGAAGCAACCAATGTGGAGCTGGCTTTCACTGAGGTTAGATCCATTGTATCGTCAGCAAGAAGGTTGTTGATGCTGGTGATGCTTCTGCTGGTCAGTTCCGTCACTTGAAAGAAAGAAAGAAAGAATAGGAATTTTCATTGTCTATATTATTTTTTATTTTTTAGACAAAAATTGTAATATTACAGCCTTTTTTAGTCAAAATATGTAACTTTATATATATGTTAGTGTTTATACATCAATTTAAGTGAAAAAAATGCAAAAAAAAAAAAAAAATTATTTTTATTTTTTTGGGGCACTTTTGGAACCGGTTTTGCAAAGAACCGGTGTTAAAAGTTTTTTTTTAAAATATTTTTTGGGACTTTTAGCACCGGTTCTTAGTAAAAACCGGTGCGAAAAGTTCAGTTTTTGGCGGTTTTCCACAAGAACCGGTGCTAAAAGTCATTTTCCCACCGGTTTTGAACCAGTGCGAAATATATGGGGTTTTAGCACCCCAAATCCGGCCCGGTTCAAAACCGGTGCGAAATGGGGGGTTTGAACCGGCGGGGAATTCGAATTTTCGCCTAGTGTTTGTTTCTTTTAAGTTTTATCATTGTATAGAATATAATAATGTCTCCCTCGAGAGAAAGGATTTTTCTCTTTCGAAAGAGAAGATTTTTTCAATTAGGTCTCCTTTGAAAGACAAGGTTTTTAAAACTCCTTTGAGAGACAAGGTGGTTTTATTTGCGCTTAATAAGGTCTACGGTTATACAGGGCTACGATTGATGTTTATTAGTCAGATTCGGGTTACGAAATCATCACAAGAATTTTCTTCCCCACAAGATATAGAAGGGGTGACGGAGCCACTCAAAAAATTGTTATATCTATGTATTTGGATTCTTAACCCTACCCCGCAAAATTCTTGTTTAATTTTGTTATATCTGTGTTTATAATAATAAACCATACTCCCCCGTTTAATAATGTTAGTCTCATATACTATTTTGGGCGTTTAAAAAAAATCTACCTATATTGAATATGTTTCGTTTTTAACTTAATTTTTTTGGAATTAATTGGTTGTAGATTGATGACATGACTCTAAATAAGGAAATCTCTACCTAGAATTATGTATTATAACTTATGCTTTCCCCAAAAAAAAAAAAATCAAAAACTTAAATAAGGTAAACTAATTATGAATTATTTTGTACTTTAATGTTAGATTTCAAATATTCTTCTTTTCTTATTTTATGTGATTGATTTTATATGAGACTAACATTATAAAATAGAGGGAGTACATCGCACGGGCTTAAGTCTAATATTAACAACTGTAGGAAATAAAGTAGTAAAAATAACAAAGTGTAAAAATTTGATGCAATTAAATAATAGAGGTGTTTATACTTTATAATACCCATTACCCACTAATACCCAAAACTTTATTTTGAGTGGCCAAGCTTCAACAAATGCTGAGGATTCTTAATATTTTTAATCTTGCTCCAAATCTTAGCAAAGCGTTTGTACTCGTCCAACATTTTATTAACTTCTCTAACCTCAAGTCCAGCTCCACGTGCAATCCGCATAATTCGTTTGTTTCGTGTCTTCAAGTCCGACATAGAATCTTTACAATCTAATTCTGCAACACCATAATCAAGTCAAAACAAAGTCAGTTATATTTCAGTAATATTTTTTCAACCCTCTCCAACAGTAACAATATGCCACCGGGTTTTTTTTTTTTTAATCACCACTTACCTAATACTACATTAGCTACATATTAGTTACAACTCTGAAATATATTTTATCTCACATATAAATATATAATACCCCAAAAGTTGCAACTAATATATAACGGATTAACGGGGAGGTATAAATTTACTGTATTTCACTCTTGCTGTAAAAGTCAAATAAAACATTTGAAAGTATGAATTAAGAACAACCAACTTACCGTTATCTGTCATTGAATCCAAAATGGTCATATAGCGCTTTATCTTAGCCTGAGCATCCTTATCTTGAGCTTTGGGCATCAACTCACAAGTAAATCCAGGAAACATTGATAAAACCTGAGAAATAGGACCCATGTTGAGGATATTCTGCAACTGCTCGTACATGATTCTAAATGTCAAACTTCCCTTAGATATATCTTGAGCCAGCTTCAATTTCTCATCCTTGCTAACTGTTTCATTCATCTTTTTTATAATTCCTGACAAGTCACCCGTACCTATATATATATATAAACCTATCGATCATATCATTCAGGAATTAATAGAATGTACCTCTCTACTACCTCCGTTTGACCGTTTCAAATGTCTAATCGTTGCAAATAATATGAAACATATGTGGTATATCAAAATGTTCAAAAATATTATGTACCTAGAAGGCGACTAACAAAAGATTTGGTGTCGAACTCCTCGAAGTCATCCATGTGCTCTCCTGTGCCAATGAATAAGACAGGACTGTTGGTGGCGGCCACAGCACTAAGAGCACCACCACCCTTAGCGTGACCATCAAGTTTAGTGTTGTGCGACAGCGGAAGCAAAGGTCGTAAACAAACAAGAAAACAATAAAGAAATTCAATGCAAACAATAAGAACAACACCAAGAATTTACGTGGTTCACTATCGATGTGATAGCTACGTCCACGGGCACCGAGATCGAATGATTTCACTATAAACTGGCAAAGATTACAAAGATTACAATGAAGAACTTAATCACTCAAAGTATTCTCTCTCTTGTGTTTCTCTCTCCGTTTCCCTAATAATGATAATAGGAAGTTTATATAGTAGTGATTCCTAATTAAGATATACTTAGGTTACAATATCACAATATGATAAATATTAAATTCGTAATCGCTGAAAAAACCCAGATCGCCCGGTCGGGCGAAGGCCCGCCCGATCGGGCGCGAGAACACGTCTTTTCCAACAACCGAAGTACTCCAAAAAACCCCTTCCGCCCGGCCCGATCGGGCAATGTCCGCCCGATCGGGCGAAGGCTCGCCCGGTCGGGCGAAAGCTCGCCCGGTCGGGCGCGCGAGAGCAGCTTCTTCAACGAATTTGCCAGGCACCTCTTCTTTTTCCGCCCGGTCAGACCGGGTAATGTCCGCCCGATCGGGCGGACAAAGCAACGAAGTACGAGTCACCTAATACTTATCAACAATCTCCACCTTGACGAGAACTCGTAGTCAGCAAACGACCCCATCAAGACATAGTGAAAAACATCTCAAGCCAAACCCGATGCAAGACTCATGCATAAGCCATACATCCCGATAAGTCTTCAACCAAGACCCATCACATACTCGTCTCCAAGTATAACAACTCATAATGCTCCACCTGCATCACAAGCCCCGGGCAAGCTCCACCTTAAGGCCAACACACCTACACCAGGAGCTCCCCAACTTCGCCCCTCAGGGCCTACTACATCACGTAGTAATCAATATTTAACAAGTCTAAGCAATGTTTAAACTTGCTAAACGGAACAGGCTTAGTGAAGAAATCAGCCGGGTTGTCAGCAGTCCCAATCTTCTTCACCTTAATCCTCTTGTCAGTACGTAAGAAATGATACCTGACATCAATGTGCTTCGTCCGATCATGGTGTACTTGATCTTTAGCTAAGCAAATCGCACTTAGACTATCACAATACACTGTAGCAAAATCCTGTGCAATACCCAGTTCACCTACTAGGCCTTTGAGCCAAATAGACTCCTTAGCTGCAGAAGTTAAAGCCATATACTCAGCTTCAGTAGTTGACAACGTAACAGATGACTGCAATGTAGACTTCCAACTAACCACAGAACCACCCAAAGTGAACACATAACCAGTCACAGACCTCCTGGTATCCACATCAGCTGCATAATCAGAATCACTGTACCCAGTGACCAAGCATTCCTTATCATTCCCGTACACAAGACCAATATCAGCTGTCCCTCTCAGGTAGCGAAAAATCCTTTTCACCCCTTGCCAGTGTTCCCTCCCAGGTCGAGCCATAAACCTGCTTACAACACTAACGGCATGCGCAATATCCGGCCTAGTACAGACCATAGCATACATCAAACAACCAACCGCATTTGCATATGGAACTCTAGACATATAAGACAACTCCTCCTCTGATTGAGGTGACATAGACAAAGACAACTTACAACTAACAGTAGTTGGCGTACTTATAGGCTTCGATTTTTCCATCCCAAAACGAGACAAAATCTTTTCAATGTAGCTTTTCTGAGTCAAGAAAAGCTTACCTCTAGCCCGATCCCTGTAGATCTCCATACCCAAAATCTTCCTAGCTGCACCCAAGTCTTTCATGTCAAACTCCGAGTTAAGCATCTCCTTTAATCTAGCAATATCAGATTTATTCTTTGTGGCAACCAACATGTCATCAACATATAACAAAAGATAAATCATGGAACCATTATCCAGCTTACTATGATACACACAACAATCATATGAATTCCTGTCAAAACCTTGTGAAACCATAAAAGAATCAAACCTTTTGTACCACTGTCGGGGGGATTGCTTAAGTCCATACAATGACTTTAGCAATCTGCAGGCATAGTGTTCCTTTCCAGGAACTTCGAATCCTTCGGGCTGCTTCATCAGAATCTCCTCCTCCAAATCGCCATGAAGGAAAGCCGTTTTAACATCCAACTGCTCCAGCTCAAGATCAAAATGTGCTACAATTGACAATAACACACGGATAGAAGTATGTCGAACCACAGGTGAGAATATCTCAACAAAATCAACCCCTTCTACCTGACTGAACCCCTTAGCAACTAGCCTAGCCTTAAAACGTATTTGCTCAGTTTCCGACAACCCTTCTTTCTTCTTGTAAATCCATTTACAACCCACAAGCTTCCTCCCTTCCGGTACTTTTACCAGTTCCCACACTCTGTTCTTGTAAAGAGACTGCATCTCTTCACCCATTGCGGCAAGCCATTGCGCAGACTCACTACAACTAATTGCTTGTTTATATGTGGCAGGTTCAAATGACTCTACATCATCAGCTACACTCAATGCATAACCTGTCATCGCATCAACACAGCAATTTCTTCCCTCCATCTCTTCAATCAATCTAACAGGCTTCTTGATAACTCGTTTAGGCATCTCAAGAATGGTGTCAGGTTGACTAGATGACCCCTGATTAGATTGCTCCACCTCATCCCCAGAGTTAGAATGAGTAGGAGTAATCTCAGGTTCAGGAGTACCCGGCACTGGAACATCAGCATCATCATCAATATATTGTACCCGAGGTAAATCAGCAATGGTAGACTGATGTACCTCAAGTACCCCATCTGTCTGTAATAAATTGTCTCCTTCCCTTCTCAAATCTGAAATCTCTGCATTTTTAATTGAATACATGGTGTTTTCATCGAAAGTAACATCCCTACTAAGAATGACCCGACCCTCCGAAGGTGAAAAAATTCTAAACCCCTTCACACCATCCCCGTACCCAACAAAACACCCCTTCTTGGCTCGTGGATCCAGCTTACCCTCAATAACATGATAATAAGCAACACAACCAAAAATCTTCAAATTCGAAAAATTAGGCAACTTACCACTCCAGATCTCAAACGGAATCTTGGAATCAATTCCAGAATGAGGACCCCTATTAATGACATAACAAGCTGTTAACACAGCTTCACTCCAGTACCTCCTCCCAAGCCCTGCATTAGAGAGCATGCATCGAACTCTCTCTAGCAGTGTCTGATTAACCCGTTCTGCTACACCGTTCTGCTGTGGTGTCTTCCTGACAGTATGATGCCGACCTATACCCTCATCTGCACAGAACTGATTAAACTCGTCTTTGCAAAACTCTAGCCCATTGTCCGTTCGTAGCTTCTTGATCTTCCTTCCTTGTCGATTTTCCACCAAAGCTTTCCATTGCTTGAAAACTTTGAAGGCCTCATCCTTTGACTTAAGCAACCTAAGCCATGTGTATCGGGACTTGTCATCAACAAATGACACAAAATAGTGGTAACCTCCCATACCTTCAACTCTAGATGGACCCCAGCAATCTGAATGGATGTAATCGAGCACTGCATCAGTAATGTGAGCACCCTTGCTGAACTTTGACCTGTGTTTCTTACCAAACACACAATGCTCACAAAATTCAAGGTTGGCAACCTTGACCCCGGATAGAAGACCCCTCTTGGACAATAGCTGCATCCCCTTCTCCCCCATATGACCAAGCCTCATGTGCCAAATCTTAGTCATCTCCTGGTGAGATACAGATGCGCAAACCGCAGAACTAGGCAGTGTAACACCCTCAAAAACATAGAGGGTGTTCCTTTTGATACCCTTAAGTACCAACTCAGAACCTCTGAAAATACACAACTCCCCATCTGAAAACACACCATTGTACCCCAAGTCATCCAGGGTACCCAATGAAATCAGATTCTTTCCTAAAGCAGGAACATGCCGTACATTAGTCAAAGTTAACCTCCGCCCATCAACAGTCCTCAACCTCATGGAACCAATACCTGTGACCTTACATGGAGCATTGTTACCGACTATAACCATGCCCCCATTGCGAGGTTCATATGTATCAAACCAATCTCGACGTGGACACATATGGAACGAACACCCTGAATCTAGAACCCAGTTATCAGATAAATCATCAGACCTAGCAGAACTGACTAATGCTAAATCTTCCTCTGAATTATAGCTCTCATTCGGTTTCTCTTCAACTACAGCAGCCTGGGACTTGTTTTTCCTCACCGGACAATTATTCCTAAAGTGACCCGGTTCTTTACAGTAATAACATGTTTTAGTAGTAGTTTTACTAGATCCATCCTTGCCGTTTCCAGCACCCGACCCAGCATTGTTCCCCTTGTTAAACCCCTTATTCTTTTTAGACTTTCCGGACTTAACAAACAACCCACTACCATTATCCCCATTATCACTCGTAGCTTTCATTCTGAGTTCCCTAGTATGAAGTGCTGCCTTCACTTCTTCTAAGGTTATAGAATCCTTACCAACAACAAAAGACTCTACAAAATTCTCAAAGCTAGACGGTAGAGATACAAGTAAAATCAACGCAGCATCCTCATCATCAATTTTAACATCTAAATTACGTAAATCAAGCAAAATAGAGTTAAGTTTTTCTAGATGTTCCCGTAAGGAAGTACCTGACTGCATCCGGAGGCTAAACAACCGCTGTTTCAGTAATAATTTGTTGGTCAACGACTTAGTCATATACAATGACTCCAGCTTCAGCCACAATCCAGCCGCCGTTTCCTGATCAGCCACCTCCGTGATGATTTGATCATCAAGACTAAGTAATATGGTAGAGTGTGCCTTCTCTTCCATAACTTCTAACTGCGAGTCAGTCGGTCCGTCTCCTGACTCCGAAGTAGTACTCTTTGGAGCCAACGGACGCCATATCTGCTGTTGTTTTAACAGAGCCTTCATCTTAATTTGCCATAGCCCGAAACTATTTTTCCCGGTAAACTTCTCAATTCTTATTGTTGAATCTCCTGCCATTGTTATCTTCAAGAAACTCTCCAAGGATTGAACCTGAGCTCTTGATACCAATTGTTGTGCGACAGCGGAAGCAAAGGTCGTAAACAAACAAGAAAACAATAAAGAAATTCAATGCAAACAATAAGAACAACACCAAGAATTTACGTGGTTCACTATCGATGTGATAGCTACGTCCACGGGCACCGAGATCGAATGATTTCACTATAAACTGGCAAAGATTACAAAGATTACAATGAAGAACTTAATCACTCAAAGTATTCTCTCTCTTGTGTTTCTCTCTCCGTTTCCCTAATAATGATAATAGGAAGTTTATATAGTAGTGATTCCTAATTAAGATATACTTAGGTTACAATATCACAATATGATAAATATTAAATTCGTAATCGCTGAAAAAACCCAGATCGCCCGGTCGGGCGAAGACCCGCCCGATCGGGCGCGAGAACACGTCTTTTCCAACAACCGAAGTACTCCAAAAAACCCCTTCCGCCCGGCCCGATCGGGCAATGTCCGCCCGATCGGGCGAAGGCTCGCCCGGTCGGGCGAAAGCTCGCCCGGTCGGGCGCGCGAGAGCAGCTTCTTCAACGAATTTGCCAGGCACCTCTTCTTTTTCCGCCCGGTCAGACCGGGTAATGTCCGCCCGATCGGGCGGACAAAGCAACGAAGTACGAGTCACCTAATACTTATCAACATTTAGTAATAACCACGGCCCCAACACCAACACTTTGCTTAAAGGCTTTAGCTTGGTCAAATGCAGATTGACCAATGCTACTATCCATCACAAATATCACAACATCTGGTTTCGTTGCCTCTTCAAGTTGTCGCATTTCTTCTAACAGAGAAGCCTCTTGTTTGTGTCGTCCACTTGTATCAATTATAATTAGATCGTAACCTTCCTTTTTCAACCTTTCCACACCTTCAACTGCTATATTCACTGGATCTAATTCCGTGTAACTGTTAATTAACCCCAATTTCACATTTGTCAACCCATATTATAATAGTTAAACAAAAACAAATTGTGTAAGCTTCATTCCCTTTTCCCAATAATTAATTAATCAATCAATCAATTAACCTGAGTGAATATAAAAGGAAACATGTCATTATGTAGTAAAAAGCTTTCCGTCATTTTTTTTTTCCAAATTTCTCTGTACATTACTCCCCTGTCACAAAATAATAAGCCTATTTCTAATTTTTTTCACAAGAATTAATGTTTTATAAGATGCCCTTTAATTCATGATTTGGATTACATTGGAAGTACACAATTTCATTAAATTTATTGAATAAAATAATTTAAACAATAAATACTTACCAATAGGGGTGGGACTTCGGTCTGGCAGTTTGGTTTGACCTCAGTTTGAAACGGTTTCGGTTTGAAACGGTTCGGGTTAAAACGGTTTCATTTAGACGGCGGGTCGGTTCAGTTCGGTTTTGATTAGTCACAGGTCGGTTCGGTTTCGGTTTATTTTTGTACGATTTAAATTCGGTTCGGGTCATAAACGGTTCGGTTTATAAACAGTTCGGGTCATAATCAGATCGGTTAGAAACGGGTCGCTTCAGGGGCGGATTTACTCGGGTTAATGCCGGTTCGGTTTTTAAACGGTTAGGTTAATAATCGGGTCGGTTTGAAATAGGTCGGTTCAGGGGCGGGTTTACCCGGGTCAATGCCCGTTCGGTTTATAAACGGTTCGGGTCATGATCTGACCGGTTTGAAACGGATCGGTTTAGGGGCGGTTTTACCGGGTCAACGTCGGTCCGGGTTCATATCGGTTCGGGTCATGAACGGATTATTTTGAAATGGGTCGGTTGAGGGGCGGGTTTACCCGGGTTAATGCTAGTTCGATTCATATCGGTTCGGTTTATACTCGGTTTGGTGCTAAAATCGTTCGGGTTAGTTTGGAAATCGGTTAAATTGGATCGGGTTGAAATCGAGTTCTAAAAAGTGGTTTTGACCAGTTAGCGCGTTTTGTTTTATATCAAGTTGAGACTAGTATTTCCATTTCATTAGCGGGTCGGCATAGGTTGGTGAAAAAAATAATGGATCGAGTAGAAATTGGGTTTTAAGAGATTTTTGACCGGTTAGCTATTTTCGTTTTATATAAAGTTGGGACTTCGTCACTTTATTTTCAGACATCGGATTATATACAATTACACAAATCTTCATTTATTCAATTATTCTATATCATGTTAATATGTTATGTTTCAAGTTTGGTTATACTCTTGTTGTTGTTTATTCGATATTATCATATTAGTCTATTACAAATTTATAATGTATTAATGTATTATTGTTTCATTATTAAATATATATTATTAGGTTATCAGCTTCTTGTTGGATTGTTTTAGATATCGTGTACTCATGACCATGTTTTGATGAGTTGCTACTTTGAATACGATAAATCGATTCAGATATCAGATTATATAGAATTACAGAAATTCTCATTCATTCTATATCATGTTAATGTGTTATGTTTCAAATTTGGTTATAGTCTTGTTGTTGTTTATTAAATATTAGTCTATTACAAATTTATAAGGTATTAATTAATTATTGTTTCATTATCAAATATTATCAGGCTATCAGCTTCTTGTTTTAATTGTTTTAAAGATCGCATCATAACCATGATTTGATGAATTGGTACTTTGAATACGATAAATCGATAATTGACATTGTAATAAACTAATAATTTAATGTTACGGAACTATATTTGGATGTTTAATTAAAATCACGATTATTCAATTTCCCATTAGTCTAATAAAGTAATAATTGACAATTGTTTGTAACTATTCCATAATTTTGGTGTTAAAGTTATATTGCTGAATTACTTTGTTGTCTTACCCTCTCTAATCACCTTTTAAGATTACGTGCCTACAAGGCTGCAACATATATATGTTGCAACTTGCAAGTTAAAGAAAACGGGTGGGGAAGTAGAAGTATTCAATTAGATCGATCATCAACTGTTTTAAGTTTTAATAATCAGATACATTTATCAATTATCTATACATACCAATGATAGTATGATACCAATCGTACCATACATTATTATTTATTACATATACTGATATACATATAACTAATATACATTAAATATGTCATATTGAATCAATTCCAATTTCCAAACATTTGTGTTTCTTACAATTTATAAGTTACATAAAGTTAAGAGTACAATAGTGTTTTTATTAGTACGTAGCTATGAATAAAAAAAAACATACTATCCAAATCCATTATCCCATGATCCGTGTCACCGTCTTATATTAAATATCAGCCATTGATTTGCATGTCATCTAACGGCCTATCATTGCACACATTCCAATTCACGATCCGTGTGTTTTCTTTTCCACCAATCAGATCACTCTTACCATCGTCTCTTTAGTACTCTTTTTCTCTCTCGTTTCTTAATCCTCTTCTGTAATATTATCAATTTTTTGAAGCCATGGCTGCTAATATGCTCACTGCTCTCTCGTTTTCTCTCTCATCTCCTCTTCCTTCTTCCTTTCTTCTTCTTCCTTCTTCTCCCTTCTTCCGTCTATGTTCTCCTTTCTTCCATCTCGTTTCTCCGTCTCCGTCCACCGGCACCACGCACGACGGTTTTTATGGTCAAATTCGACCACGAAACTCTAGATCTAGTTGTTTCATGATCGAATTTGGTTTTCTAAAACCAAATTCGAGGCCAAATTCAGGATTAATATATAAGGTGTTTTCGTTCTTCCTTTTTTTTATTTTCTGTTTTTCTTTTTAATTTTTTTTCAAGTTGTGGGCAACGGAGGGGGCCGAGTTAGGGTGGGTGCGGCGGCGGTTAGACTGGGTTCGGGTGGGTGGGGAGGGAGGATTTTTCGAGGGAGGGAGTTTTATGGTGGGTGAGCAATTAGAGTGAATTGGGGGGTTTCGAGGATGTTGGGTTTCGTTGGGGTGGGTGGGGTGGGGTTACGGTGGGTTTGGTTTTTTTTTCGATTTTTTTGTATGGGGTGGGGTGGGGTGTGTTACGGTGACGGTGGTGGGTGTGATTGGGGTTGGGTCTGTTTTTTTTTTTTTTTTTTTTTTTTTTTTTTTTTTTTTTTACAGTGATGGTGGTGGGTGGGGTGGGGTGGGGTGGGGTTTGTTAAGGGGGTGGGGTGGGGTACGTTACGGTGATGGTGGTAGGTGGGGTGGGGTATGGGTCTGGGTTTTTATTATTTACGGTGACGGTGGTGGATGGGGTGGGGTAAGGTTTGGGTCTGGGTTTTTTTATTTACAGTGGGTGGTGGGGTAGGGTGGGGTGGGTTACGGTAATTATGGTGGGTGCGGGGGTGGTGTTAGGGTGGGTCTGGGTTGACGTTGGTGGGGTGGGGGTGGGTTACGGTAACGGTGGTGGGGTGGGGGTGGGTTACGGTAACGGTGGTGGGTGGGGGGTAGTGTTAGGGTGGGTCTGGGGTGACGACGGGGGTGGTGTTAGGGTGGGTTACGGTGGTGGGTGGGTGGAGGGTGGTTGGATTGGGTGGGTGACCAAATTTTTTCATTTTTTTATTTAATTTATAACTCCTAATTTAGTTATACAAGAATATAGTTTTAATTTTATAATAGCAAAAAAATTTACAAATTTAAATCAATAATTATATGTAAAAAAAATTGTACTGTTAAATTACATTAAACATCAAATATATTTCGTGGAATTCTAACAAATTGTTAAAGGCTGTAAATAGTTCAATTTGAATGGAACGGGTTGTAAACGGTTCGGTTTAAATAGTTTGTAATCGGATCGGTTTAAACGGGTTGCGGTTTGAAAATAGTTCGGTTTAAACGGTTTAATGGGTTATAAACAGTTCGGTTTAAACGGTTAGCGGGTTGTAAATGATTCGATTTAAACGGTTTTTTCCTACGGTTTAAACGGTTTCGGTTTATAAACGGTTCGGTTTAAACAGTTAGCGGGTTAACATTAATCGGTTCAAACGGTTTCGGTTTATAAACGGTTTGGTTTGTTATTGGTTTACGGTTCGTAACAGGTTAACATTAATTGGTTCGGTTCGGTTTCGGTTTGACATTATACGGTTCAGTTCGGTTTTCGGTTTAAAATTAGCGGGTTATAAACGGTTCGGTCCGTGATGGTTCGGTTCGGTAACGGACGGTTTCACGGTTCGGTTTGAAAAGTCCCACCCCTACTTACCAATCAAATTTATTAAAGCAAAAAGGGACCAATCACATTTAATGTTATATATGGGATGATGTAACATTCGTAAAAATTCACTTATTTAAAATATAAGGATTCACTAAGTAGGTTTATCATTTTAGACATTCAAAAAAGGAAAATAGGCTTATCATTCTGTGACAAAGGGAATATTATTTATAAAGAAAATTTAAACCTCTATATATTATGAGAACCTTTTACATAGGGTGCACCTACAAAGGTGTATTTTTGCTCATTTGATATAATTTTGCTCATTTAAATTTTAAAATGGGCAAAAAATAGTTAACATTATTAATATAATATTAATGGTAATATTATATCAATATATATTACTAATAGTTAAAAAAAAAAATGCCTTTATTATTACTAATATCACGTAAAAATGGAGAATATATATTTCGTGTATATTTATCATTCTAGATTTTCTAAAGTGATTAGGACTAGAATTGTAACTTTTGTTAATTATTCTGTAACAATTAAATCAATTGATATACTTGCTTAGTTTCTCACGCAAACCCCACTTTAATTTTATTTTTTTTTGTTATTATTTCCATCCCGAAATTTTACAAAATCACCCTTTCTTCTACATTAAAAAATCTAAATTTGACAAATAAAAACTTCAACCCAAACAATTTAAATTTCTTTTAATCAACAAAAAAATATGCAAACTTGTACGAGTAGTATGCATAATTGAAAATTAGATTATTATTTATATGTATATAAAATTTCTTGTTAAATTAATTTATTAATGTTGCTATATTGAAGACTTGATCATGGATTAATTGTGGCTGGAGTAGGTCAGGCCAAGGTTACTCGCACAAAAGTTAATATAAATAGATATATCTATATAAAATCCATGCGGGACCTTTTAATAAATAATTAAAATAAAATTGTTTTTAACAAAGGGAATTAAAAGAATGAATAAATTATGTATGTACATACCTTCCATAGAAGGGAATGTTAGCCTTAGTGGCGTTTTGCTTCAACTGATCATAAGCACCGGCTCGAAAAGTATCAGCACAAATAAGAGCTGGTTTCCAACCCCTTCTCTTATGATAACGGGCATATTTTGTACATGTAGTCGTCTTTCCGGACCCTGCAAGTGGATGCCCAACAGAATTCAATAATCATTATTATTTCCCTTACAAAAAAAAAAAAAAATATATATATATTATCGAGCGATTAAGGTTCCGTTCAAGACTATTGTGGTTTTATTGGTGTATTTTTAATTTGTCCATACATACCTTGCAGACCGACAAACATAACAACACTTGGTTTTCGTTTCTTGAGAGTAAAAGATGGCTTCTCCGAATTCAACATATTACATAGCTCATTGAATACCGCCTTTAAAAATACAAACATCAAGTTTATTAAACCAAATAAAATTATAAGTAATTGAATTAAATAGACGAACAACAAAAGATATAGTATGTTACCTGTTGAAGAATCTTGTACTTGTTAAGACCCTCAAAAAGATGATCAAGATTGATGTTATTCTTAATATTGTCAATGTAGTGTTTGATTAAAGCTGGTTTAACATCGGCCCTGATAAGAGCACGAGTGATCTCATTCAAGCATTCGCTGACTACAGCCTTATCGATCACACTTGAATTATTTAAGTTCCGAAGAGCATTACGTATGCTCCCCCCTAAATCTGCTAACACCATTATCGTTTTTTTTTTTTTTTTTTTTTTTAGCACTTTACTCCTCTTTGTTAGATTTTGTGTCAAACTCCTCAACCTAACCGTATTACATTGATCAAATATATAGGTTTTAAGAGTTTCGGGATAAACTCCTAATTGGGCTAGGAAACCTAATATTTTTTGGGCCCAATTTGGAAAATCAGTCCATCATATAGTTAAAGAAAAGAAAGAAAGAAAAGAAAAGAAAGGGAAGCTTCTTTTTAAATTTTTATTTAATTCTAAATAACGGCAGTAAATGAATTCGGTTAAGTAAATGTAAATGTCAATCCTTAGAGTAGTCAATTAGCTGTAAATATATTTCCTTTATTTTAGGGATTTTTTTCCTTTAATTTAGCTAGAGTTATTCCTATTGTAACTGGTACTAACTTCTAGCGTATTACCTTAACTTGTATATGTTATATATACTTTTCAAGTCAATGAGAATAACACAACTTCTCTCAATATCTTTTCTAAGTCTCTACAAATACAAGTACATAAAAGGGTAGTATACCAAAGATGTGTGCTACATATACTAATATAGCTTCTTATAAACCCGTTCGTAATTAAATAAAAAAGAGATTGTTATATACACCTGGGTGTACGGTGCACCCCAAGTGTAATTTTAATGAGTGGTGATTATTGTTCATTTAAATCATCAAATAAAGAAAAAAAAAATCAACCATGAGTTAATTTGGTGCGTGGTATAGACCCCCTTCCTTAGAAATTGACATATATATCCTTCTTCCAACCTGCCTTAGAAATTAGAATTGTTCGTTGACTAATGTAGTGGACGGGAAGCCCGTCCAACCCAGCCTGCAAAAGTGCAAAACCTAATCATGTGTAGCTCGGCACGAAAAAATACCCAATTTGGACATAATTTTTGGGCTTGATTTAAGTCTTACACCCGATTAATTTTACACAAATATCACTGGAGAGTATTAAACTTTGTTGTTATTTGTAATTAAATAACCTTATGCCATGTGATTTTTTCAAAGATAACTGAATACTTGTTTATTTAAATTAGTCTAGATAAGGGAATTTTCTTTAATTTGACCCTTGATTTATCATGTTGGACTAATTTTTAATCCCTCTTCTCCTCATTTTAAAATCAGTGCATGTAATGAACAAATATAATAGTCAATCAGTAAAAATAATTTCAATTCAGCAAAAAGGTAAAGGAAACCAAACCTTAATTATTCTCACTTTGTAACGAAAAGTTATACTAGCTAGCTATGGCATAATATGTTTATATTGAACTTCCGGTTTTATTGAAGGATGCTTTGGGTCGATACCCAAACCCTGAGATTGAATCTTATTACGTATATTTTTTTAATATAGTGCTCATTTTGGAATATTTTCCTAATAGGTATGACTACGAGTTTGAAACTACGGGAGCACAACGTAAGAACAAAATATTTACCTCTATGTTCATCCGTCAAGAGGACCTACTAAAACCAGGTACAATCCATCAATTGCAATACCTAGGCCCATCGGACCTTGGCCCATCTTTCATGGCAAGAAATGAAGTCCAAAACAAAGTTCCTTTCAATTCAACACTTATCACAAATACTTGCTGCCTTTTCTATTGATCCCAATTCCAAAGAAGCTCAAATGATGAAGTCAACTTTGACTCGTTGTGAAGATCCTTTAAGATTTAGTCAACACTTTTGTGCACCCTCAATGGAAGATATGGTTGATTATGTATCTTCTGAGTTCAATCCCTCGGTTGCGAGTAAGGATCTTCAAGTGCTTAGTGTTATCGTCACCCTTCCCATGGAAGGTAGCAACAGGTATATACATATGTCATATATTATACTCCTTCTGTCTCGTATTAAGTGTTTTATTATGTATGGGCCAGTTAAATAATTGAATTCTTAACTTTGCCACTATAATAGGTATCGCATAAATAAAGTTAAGATTGCCGGGGAAGGAAAGGATACAATAAGTTGCCACAAGGCAGATTTCCCATATGGTGCATTGATGTGCCACCACCTTGCCGGGGCAACGGCTTATCATGTTCAACTCCACAGCCTTGGCAATGATAACCTAAAGGTCGACGCTCTTATGGGCTGCCACCATGACACCTCCGATTGGAGTATGTTGTATGGTGCCTTTGAAGTTCACTACAAAAAGAGACTCAATTAATGACAGCCCGTTTATGACAGGCTTAAAGCCCATCCATTTTGTGGTGGGTTTTATGACAGGGCATATAATCCAATAGATGAAGGCTGGTCTCGAGACTAGCCATATATTCATGCTCCCTCACCCAAATGACATCGTTTTATAGCATGAAACGTAAATAAGAGCTCACGTGACGTCACCACGCATTGTGTTGTCAAATCAGGTATAAATACCTTATTCAAAAGAAAATAAACCCATTTTTCATTTTTCGAAACCACCATACCCATTTTCTCTCTCTACCGTCTCTTTCTCTCTCTAGTTCATCTGAAACCTCCATAAACATTCTGAGAAAGTTTAGAGATCAAAAATTTCATATGTAATCATGGATATTAGAAAAGAAATTGATGGTGCTATCGTAGATTTTGGAAATCAGCGTAAAAAAATAAGGTTATTTTCAATTTTTCGCTAATTTAAGCAACGAATGTCACTCTAAACTTGTAAATCTGTTCAATCAGTACTTAGATTTTGTTTATTTACAATTTTCTCTCTCTAGCCTTCAATTTCAGTATTATAATTACATTTTTGGTTGTTTATTTTGATTTTTGTTCATTTTGAATTTTGTATAATTTTGGTTGATTTATTTGGATTTTTGCACATTTTGTCTAGGGGAGCAAGAATTACATCATCAATGCCGGAATTAAGAACCAACAACGACGAGAGTTTAGCACCGTAAGCTAACTAGCCTGATTTTCTAGTTGATTCAAAGAAAAAAAACCCTAACTATTTTTTTTTTTTTTGAATTTTTCAGAATGAGAAAAGCTAGTTCAGAGCAGGATATTGAAAGCAACGATTCGTAAGTGCAATTTTAATTTTGTTGTTGATTTTGGAGTTTAATATTAGTAGTTATAGTGTTATCGACTAAATGTTCATTTTGTAAAAAATTAATGTTCATTTTGTGAAAACGAACAGAGATGATGAAGATGTTCCAATTGCCACCAAATTGGCTAGAAAAAAAAACAAGCGCGAAAATCCTACTTTTATAATAGATCCAACACTTTTAAATGATATCAAAAGATCAGCCAAGTAAGACATAGTTTGCTCAATTTTATTTATAATGATGTTCAATATCATAATCATTTGTTCATTTAATTTCATAGTTTGGAACGCATAATTATTCTCAATTGATCTTAGTATTAAATTTGTTCATTGTACTATTAGAAAAGGTTCATTTTAGTATTAGAAAATGTTCATTTTAAGATGAAATGTTCATTTTAAGATGATAAAATGTTCAATGCTGAATTTAGTCATTTGTCAAATGGGTCATTCGGATTTTTATATACGAACATTTGTGTACACCAGATGATGAATGTACGAACATTTGTGTACACCAGAGGAAGAAGCCGGTGATCCTGAACTTACAATTGAAAACAACAATGTGAGCACTATGGAATTTGGATTTCAAGCTGTAGAAAAGAAACGGAGTCTAGTTTGGCCAGAATTCCTCACGTTTGACTAGACGGAATCTAGTGATGGGAAACAGAGGTCAGTTTGCAAACATTGCCAAAAAGCATCCTTCATAATCGACCCCCATTATGGAACCCAAAATATGCAAAGACATCTAAGAAAATGCAATGCATATGCACCACAAGAAAACAGCTTGATTCCGACAGACTGTTTCCGAAGGACACGTATTTCCGTCGGAAAAATTAGGAATTCCGACGGATTTTTATTCCGTCGGAAATTTCCGACGGAATTTTAAAATTCGTCGGAATTTCCGACGAAATAAAATCCGCCGGAATTCCTAATTTTTCCGACGGAATATTCCGTCGGAAAGTTAATTTTCCGATGGAATTAAAATCCGTCGGGAACACCATATATTCCGACGGATTTTTATTCCGTCAGAATCTAATTTTAAAAAAAAAAAGAGAGAAAGAAAAAGGAAACCCTAACTTCAAAAACGAAATGCGCCTCTTTTTTTTCCCATTTCTCCTTCTCTTTCTCTCTCCTCTCCTATTCTCTTCTCCTTCCTCTTCGTCCTCTCTTCTCTTTCCTCTGTCCTCATCTCTTCTCTTTCCTCTTCTCCTTCCTCGTCTCTTCTCAATCCTTCTCCTTCCTCGTCCTCTTTCCTCCTCGTCTCTTCTCTATCCTTCTCCCTCCTCGTCTTCTCCTTCTCACCCAAAACCACCATAACCGACACCAACAACAACAACTCCTTCTCCCTCCTCGTCCTCTCGTTCTCCTTCCACCCAAAACCACCAACACCGACACCAACAACAACTCCTTCTCCCTCCTCGTCCTCCTTCTCACCCAAAACCACCAACACCGACACCAACAACAACTCCTTCTCCCTCCTCGTCCTCCCTCTCACCCAAAACCGCTAATACCGACACTAACATCAACAAATTTGCCAAAACAAAGGTTTTCAAGTCAAAATCGACCATGCTAGAGTTTTCATGGACGAATTTGACCTTGTAAACCCAATTTTGCGGTTTTCTATGGTCGAATTAAGGTATTTTTTTTTAATTTTATTTTGTAATTTAATCAGTTTTTTTTTTAAAATATATACGGTTGTGGTGGGTGGTGTGGCTGCTAGTTCGGTGTTGGTAGTTTGTTTGCTCCAATTTGTATAGGATACGATTTTTTGGTTCAGATTTGTATTCTAATTTGTATTTTGTTTCAATTTGTATAGATCTGTTTCTTTTTTTCAATATTTTTCGTTTTTTTGGTTCCGAATTGTATTCGGAAAAATGGTGATGGTGGTGGGTTGGGGTTACGGTGGTGGGAAAAGGGGTTGGAAGTGGTGGTGGTGGGTTAGGAGGTGGTGGTGGTGGTGGTGGGTGGGGTGGGAAAAGGGGTTGGAAGTGGTGGTGGTGGGTTGGGGTTACGGTGGTGGGTTAGGAGGTGGCGGTGGTGGGTTAGGAGGTGGCGGTGGGGTGGGTTGGGATGGTGAGCAGGGGTGTGGGCAGTGGTGGATATGGGTGGGGTAAGGGTTAGGGGTAAAGCTGTTTTTTTTTTTGTTTTTTTATTGACTTTTCCAACGGAAATTTCCGTCGGAATATACTTCTTCCGACGGAAATTTCCGTCGGAAAAGTCTCCAACTCCGACGGAAAATTCCGTAGGAAAATTGCGACGGAATTTCAATTAAAGTCAAAAAAGCGCCGACAGAAATAATTCCGTCTGAAACTAGCCTTCCGATAGAAATTCCGTCGGAAAAGGTCGAATTTCCTACAAAGGGTTTAGCGATAGACACATTCCGACGGAATTCCGTCGGAAGCCCATTTTCCGACGGAATTTCCGATGTTTTCGATGGATTTTTTCCGTCGGAATCAAGCTGTTTTCTTGTAGTGATGAGAAATATTTGAAAAACCAAGGAGGAAACGGTTCAAACAAAGGTAAAATCTCTAACCAAATTAGCTTTTTGGAAAGAAAATGAGCATCGATATAAAGGCCTTTCTCATTTGGCTAGAGATATTTTGGTCGTGCTCCTGACAACCGTCACTTCCGAATCAACTTTCAGCATTGGGAGTCGAGTATTGAATAAATGGAAAAGTTCATCAATTCCTGAAAATGTGGAGGCTTTAATAACAACTCGTAGTTGGATGTACTCTTTTGAAAGTAAGTATTTTATTATATTTTTTTTAAAATATGTATATTCATATTCCTACATTATTTAGAGTTCGTACATTTTTGTTGCTTTATTTTGGCTTATATTGTTAAAATTTGCTTATATTATTGTTTTTATATTTATGTAGCAAATGAGGATGATGGATTTTTTGGTTCTTATGTGGATTGGCGCGGCGGCTCCAAGTGTTAACTGTCAACAATTTTAAGAGTCGAATATAGGAGTATAATTATTTAGAATATTTTGTAATTTTATTTGGTATTGAACATTATGTTATGTACGCATTATTATTGTACTATTTTTTTTCTAGACTTGTGAGAATTGTAACTTTTATTTCAAGCTTTAGTAATTTTTTTCTTAATCTTATGGACAAACTCCGTAGAATAGTCGTTAAATTTCAATCTTTTTACGAATTTTTAATAACTTATAAAGAAAAAAGGCCGAAGAAATCGAGAAAAGTAATGCTCAAAATATGTAAATTACTTACACTGTTACACATTACAAATTAATAAAAAAAAATTAAGTCAGTTTGATTGCGATTATTTTCTATTTTGGTTTGCTCAGGTCAAATCGTTAGCTTAAATAGATTCTGGTCATTTCAGGTATAAGGTAATTTTAGGTCGGGTCAATTTGGGTATCGGGCCAACTTTGGATCTAGGGTCAACTTCGGATCGGGTCATTTCGGGTCGGGTTGTTTCGGGTCAAGGTCCAGGTCAATTCCACTTCGGGTCGGGTATGGGTCGGGTCAGGTTGATTTCGGGTTTCTGGTCAATTTCGGGTCACTGTTTTCAAATCGATTTCGGGTCCTGGTTCGAGTCATTCGGGTCGGGTCATCGGGTCTGGGTCAGGATTGTCATTACTGATAGTTAACTAAAGATTAGGGGGGATCATTTATTCATTTTCATAGTTGAGGATGTTTATTATTTTTTAAAATCATTTATCAAAACCAGAGGGGTGAATACAAGAGACAATAATCAATTGAAGATAAAAATCAAATTTAAGAAAGCAGAATCAGAAAATGTTTTTGAGAAATGGTTTGTACCTTATGAAGCATTTGGAAACGTATACAGCTAACCCTAAGAAAAAATGGATTTGTGACTTGAAAAATGATGTAAGTGCTGTTTATGTTCATTTCTTTTAACCCAAGTGTTCATCTTTTCAAATCAAATGTTCATTTCTATAAAGGTGATCCTATTTTTAAATTATTGTGTTAAATGTTTTGCTTATGTGTATTTTTTCAACTAGGTTGATCAATTGAGGAAGTTACGGGTCATATATTGTGCACAACTGATGCTTTTTGAGGGAAACAAGTACCACCAAATGAACAAAATGGCAGCAAAAAGAAGACAAAGAGAAAGTGATTAACTTCTAAATGTTCAAATGCAAAACAGTATATGTCTCTTTATGTAATATACAATATAATATTTCTTCAAAAGAGTATTTCAAATTATATTGAATGATGAATGTATATGAACATATGTTTCTGTTATTTGATAATACATTTGTGTTTTTAATTCATTTCATATGTTGAAAATATTCATTTTTATACTCTTATCTATTCTAAAGGCAATTACATTTAAACACATAAAAAATTGTTCATTTTCTTTTTATAAAATGTTCAATAGAATGTTTTGATATAAATTATAAATTTTTAATTAAAAAGTTGATTTTTAAAATGACAACTCATATAAATCAGAAAAGTTCATTCATTTATGTAGAATCTTAAAAAAAAAAGTAATGATAACATTATCAAATAATATAAAAAAATCACATAATATTGATTATCAATAACATTGTTCATAACGTCAACATAAAATATTCATTCATTTATAATAAAATCAAATATGTTCTTTACAAGTAAAATTGTATGCTTCAATGTATAGTATAGTATGATTCAATGTATAGATCTTGATGAATCTTGTATAGTATGCTTCAATGTTTGACAAAAATCCCTGTAAAAAAAAATGTTCAATAAGAAATAAAAATGTAAAAAGAACAATGATAGCAAAATTATATACTTACTAAACTATTATTCATTGATCAAACATTGAAAGAATTTCGTTGAAATAAACATCCCTAACACCTCCAGCTTTAAAATGCTTCAAACAAATAAAATGTATGTCAAAGTATATAAATACTATACATGTGCATAACTAAAAACAATAATGTTCAATTATATTCACCTTACTATTCTTATCATGAGATGGATCTTTTGACTGAGTAGGAATTGCATCACCAACCATATAAATTATTAAATGACAATGGTCGAATAATGAAATGTTCAAAATAGAATAAATTATTAAATGACAACGGTCGAATAATGAAATGTTCAAAATAGAAAGATGAAATGTTCATAATGAAAACAATAATGTTCAACTATATTTATCTTACCATTCTTATCATGAGATGGATCTTTTAACTAAGTAGGAATTGCATCACCAACCTTATAAAAAAATTTAAATGTTAATGGTCGAAAAATGAACGGTTCATTATAAAAAGATGAAATGATCATAATGTAAAAATGAAATTTTCATATTTACCTTATCCTTCTGAATTTTGTTACCTTCAATTGACTGAGTAGTATCCTTGTTTAAAACAACCAATCCTGATCCTTCAATGCTAGAATTTGAATAAATCAAACGAGCCCCATTATGATAAAGTCTTGTAAAATCCAAAAAAATTGTTCAATGATAATAACAAATCATAAACTAATTGTTCATACAGAATAAGACATTGTTCAAATTTAGAAACCTATATGTTCATTAATACCTGAGCAGATGTTTGAACATTAAACCTAACCATACACCATCCTTCCCAATAGAAAACTGAACAAATGTTGTACAACCTGTACAATCCACCAATTTTTCATACTTTCTAGTGTTCCGTTTCTTATTGTCTTTAAACCCTTCATTTGAACTCAATAACTTTCTCATAGTCCATTCCCTTAGTGCGCCTACTACTTCTTGTCTTTGCCTTCCTAATACTAAACCCTTCATTTGAACACAATAACATACTCATTGCATAAATCGTAAGTCTCTGCATCACCCTTAACAGTCTTCAACATTAATTCAGATTTGTCTGCCTCATGAACTATTACTGGATCTTGATTCACTGAAACTAGTAAATGTACATAATATAGTCATATAATGTTCATTTTAGAATCAGGTCATACTGTATCTGATTAAAAATGTTCATATCAAAATAATTAAATGTTCATTTATATTTGAAAAATATGAAAACGACCAAAAAAAAAAGTGATTAATTCATTATTGAAATATTGTTTAAAATCAACATAATAAATGTTCAATTAAAAACACTATAATATTATTATAAAACAAACAGCGTATAACATGTACAACCACTGAAAATAGTATAACATGTACAAACACTATAATATTGATTTTGTTCAATCAAAACCAAAAACAAATATATAAAATAAAAATTATAAATTCAAAGCTTAAATTATTCAATCAAAAGAAATATAATCAAACATTAAGCAATTATTAATTACGGAGTATATGAAATAATCAATTAGCAAAATAAACTCCATTGAATCAAAAAAGCACAAAATTATTCAATAAACAATAAACTCCATTGAATCAAAAAAGCACTAAATTATTCAATCAAAGCAATAAATAAACTTACATTCATCCAATAATGAAGGAAGAATCCCAAATGAACAATTCGTAGCAAGCTCCATTGTTATTTACAGACAAAAGAATCGAAAATCTTGAATACCTTGAATGTGTAGAGCAATTCAACACCAGAAATAAATAAAAAATATATCAAAAATGAACAATGAGAAAGAAAATATTGTAAAATCGAGAAGAGTGCAATTCTATGCTTGCTGTTCGCGTTAATGTAATATTGGAAATGGATGCATATAGCTCTGAGTTGGATGGCAAGGAATTCGCTTATGATGGTGAGAAGACCTTGTTTACAGTCGGTTCCCTCCCAACAAAGAAGTTGGAGTTTACTGTCCTGCTCGACAAGGTCTCGTCTGAAAGGTAATTAACAATGCCTTAACAAAGTAATCAAACTGCTTGAGTGCTTGTTACTTTGATACATTGCTTACATTAGTACTATAAAACATCATTTTATTGTAGGAAGGATGGTAAGAGCAGCCCGAGAGGCAATGAGAGTGATAAAAAGAGAAGAAAGCGCGTATCTCAAAGCAAGACTTTTAAGGTGGAGATCAGTTATGCAACAGAAATCCCAATGCAATAAGTGATGCTCTCCGTGGTATAGAATCTGAGGACTTCCTTGATGCTGTCCGAGTCTTGGACACTACTGAGGCAACATGCTGCAAATCAGTAAGTTCAAATTTCTTACTCCTTGTTCTTTTTTCATATTTTGTTTCCTCTTTGAGTCTTTGTACATACTGATGTTCTCTTTTAAAACATATATATGTAAAGGGGGTGCCTTTTGGTGAGGCAATCATTCTTTCACAACAATAAAAGGAACTTCGATGTCCTTGGAGGGGGTATTCTTGGTTGCAGGGGATACCATACAAGTTTTCGAGCCACTTAAAGTGGACTGTCTTTGAACATGGGTAAGTGTTTAGTTTCCATAAGTTTGGCATATTGGCCGTTTGGAACAACACTACCATGTTGTGCTTGATCAGAATGCCTTTTCAGCAATAGTTGATTCACTCTTTATCCTATGTGTAAGAAGTTCTTGACCTCTAAAAAAACTTGCAAAATTTTGTGTTTAAAGTTGAATATGAGCAAGGAATCTAATTTAGAGAGTATATATAAACACATGCAGGTACCAGAGGAGCACTACTGCTATATCTATTGGTAAATCCTATTGCTAACTCTGGCATATAGTCGTAAAAAAATTAAGCTCGCTTTCACAATACTAAGTTACTCTACTTTTTTTTTGTCTTTCCTCTCCATTATGAGTCCTGCAGCTGCACCAATTCGATATGCCCACCTGGCAGCCTCCCAAGCATCTCAGGAACATCATCGGGTCATGGAGGCGTGACTTCCGCTGGAAATCCTCCTGTGCCTGAGATCCCAAAGCTGCATAACAGAGTGTGCAGGTCCATGTTCTTCTGTTAGTCATACCTGTAAAGAATGATCTATAACTACTAGTCCCTCAGTTTACCCTGAAGTGTGTAGGATATTAGGATGTTTCGATGACCACTATGTCTCTCTTTACGCTTTCTGCTAACTGCTAAATAATGCATACAGTTTTGGCTGGCAACAAACATGTACAGGTCGTCGTTCATCAGAAATTTTGGACCAAATAATGCAGTTTGTAATCTTTTGAATGATAATAGACTTGATTTTATTGATGCTTTTAGTCTGCTGGACTTTTTACTATGCTTGTTCATTAGATAGATTCCACATGCCCTAATCTTTGGATTTGAGACATTTTTTTAATTACCTCATACATTAACCCCAAGTTTGCTTGTGATTTTGCTATGACAATTACGTGTGGGTAAAATAGTTTCCCAAATACGAGTTTGTTATTTGGAGTACGAGTACTATACTATGATGTCCTAAAAAACATACTAGTACAAGTATTCTTTAAAATTAAAGTAGATACTTTGTGTATACAACTCTCTCCATATTTTATTACTTCTCCATTTTCCCATTCACGGAGTTTTAGGAGAAATAGTTACTTATAATAAAATATGAATGAAGTGGGGTTGATGGAAGAATAAAGTATGATAGTCGGGAGGAGAGAGAATATTAAAATATTTAAGTATGGTAGTTGGGGATTCACTAGGAAAGAAAAATTAGTAAAGTATTGTAAAAGGTTTCCCAAAATGAAAATGGAACGAAGTAATAAAATATGGCAGCAAAAGAAAAGTGGAGCGGCTGATAAAATACAGAGGGAGTATGATTAAAATAATTCTGTAAGTCAATCCTAGAGTAACAGGTGGCATAATTAACAAAGGTTACAACTAGTTTAGATCTCTTTAAAATTGATAACACCAAAGGTTGTAATATTAAGAAACTTATCAAAAAATTGTCTTATTTAGATTCTATCGCTCAAAGGTTGTATTACGAAGTATTATATTTATGATAATTTTTTAATATAATATAGAGTAATGCATTGATAAGTGTTAACTATAGTGTTGCAAATAAAAGACACAAAGTATGAACAATCAAAATGGGAAAAATCAATGTGAAACAGAAAGAGTACTCTGTGATAAATTTCTCATACTCCTTTCGTGTTTTTTTTAAGTGTTACACTTACCAAATGAGGTCGTGTTTTTTTAAGTGTTATACTTCCTCTTTTGGCAAAAAAAACTCCATTTTAATATTATATTTATCTCCTCTCATAGTCCGACCTCCACTATTACTTTTTTTTATTATTCCATCTGTTCTCCAATGATTTTTCCCATTTGTGAAAAACACGGGAATCAAGAAAGGGGACATGGAAAAGTTAAATTGACAATAAAGTACATAGATAAATACTTCCTCCATCCCTTTTTTATTTAGCCTTATATGACCAATATTCACGTGAATAAAGAGGGAAAGGAGGAATTAGTAAATGTCCGTTGGAAAGTTAAATTCACATGGAATTTGCAAAAAAGTAGAGAGAGAAAGTAATAAAAGTACATGAAAAAACTAAAAATTCACATAAAAGAGCTAACTTTGCACAAATATTTTTGCATAAGAGGGTAATTTAAAAGGTCACTTAATAAAGACAAGAAAAATAGATGATAAAAGGGTAATTTAATGCAATCTTTAAATGATACTCCCTCCGTCCATTAATTAGTGTGAATCATATCAAAAGTGAAGGGTCTAATAGGGATCAAAAGTGAAGGGTTATTATTAAGGTTCAAAAATGAAGGGTCTAAAAGGGTTATCATTAAAGTAATTAATTTGATTTTTGTTTAGCTTTTCCTTACCCTCGCACCTTTTTTACATGTTCTTCTTTGCCTTAATTCTTGTGCAAATCACAAATCTATCTAATATCATATCATCACATCACTAATAATAATAATATAATTAATTTAATTAAAGCCGAGTCATGCAACTAGGCTACGAGACAGTGACACTTGACCTTCTAATTTTTTGCCAAGTGTTGCGCCACATGGGCAATAAGTTAGCATGACATATATGATGCTATATAAGCAAAATCCGAATAAATTTATTAGGATAAAAAAATTATTTTAGGATAAATATGTTATTTTAGAGTTTTATTTCAATAAGACTTTTAATATTTTCTATGTATAAACTAAACTATAGATTAAAATTAATATCTTATAAATTTGTTATTTTGACATCATAAAACTCGTTTTAAAAAGTTGTTCAAAACAAGATCCATTTATAATATATGAATCGATCAAACCTTATAATATAAATTCTTGACCATTAGACCTTATAATGACAATTCTTGAAAATTAATGATTTTAATTATATATATTAATAATAAGATGTATAAAAGGTTGATATATTAAAAATATACCTAAAAATTAATTTAGAAACCTTATGAAAAGCGTAAAGACCTTGCAAAAACAAAGGTAATATAAAAAAATATAATTAATATGTTTCAAAATAAGAAGAATCTTTAAAAGTAAGACTCGGGGCATCGATCGGGGCACAAACTAGTCACTTCACTACTAATTAAAGCCGAGTCCTGCAATCAGGCTATGAGACAATAAGACTTGGCATTTCAGCTTTTTGCCAAGTGTCATGCCACATATAAACAACAATTATACATAAACATGACATGTAACCGATATTAAATTTAATATAAAAAGTTATATTTGAGTTTTAGTTTCGATAAACTTTATTTTTTTCACATACATTAAATAATTTATATCTTTCAATAAACACCTTATAAAATTGTAATTTTTGCTCATAAAATTCGTGGTAAAAATTTTAAAACAAAATCCATTATATTCATGATATGTTGTAACCAAGTACGAATACTTTATTTGAATTTTAAATTTAATTTAATTTAAAATGTAAATTACAAGTAAATCAAATGTAAATGTAAATTATAATATATATTATAGACAAAAATTAAGGACTTAATTAATTAAAGTTATTTATCTTTATAATGATAAAATATACCACGCGTTTTGTGTGTGGTTAGCCACACCATGTGACCACTTGTAAAAAGTAACCTCTATAATAATGACCGATTAACTTTCCTGACCGAATCTATCTAATCTAACTCGAAAATATCCATTTCAAATTTCAACTCATATGCACACAATAATTTAGCAGACCTTAACTTTGAAAAAAAACCGACTCAATCCCACTTTACCGAATTGACACCTCTACACCTTGTAACATTAATTAAAATACTTTATCCGTTTTTAGTTATTACAACAATTGAAATTTCACGTATCCAAGATTCCAAGAACGGGCCTAATCGTACGTACGTAAACTCACATAGTCACGGTCATACATTCATAGTCTCATACTCGTCAAATTTCTTCGTTTATAAAAGAGAAACAAATGAGACCAAAATTTAACTAAAGCTTCATTACCTCTTAATAATAGCAATTAGCAAAGGTTTCTCTCTGTAATTTCTCATTTATATTCTAATCTTTTTATCTTTATTTCCTCTTATTCTTACTTCTTTTACTACAATTTCTTCATATTTTCTTTAAAATTCATAATTTTCTAGCAGAACAAACTTGCTCTTCTTCATCATATTCTACTGGGTTTTAGGTTTTTTCTGGAGAATTTCTCGCTGGAAAGGTATAATTCTGCTCTATTTTACTTTGAGTTCTTAGAAGTTTAATCAATTGCTTTTTTTTTGGTGGGTTTTTGTTCTCGTGCAAATTTATGCATGGGTTCTTTTATTTAATTGTTTTCGTTTTTTCTTTACTAATTATTTCTTATTCTTAGTAATTTTGTCAATTTTTTATGTCATTTGATGAATATGATGATCTTACGTAAAATGGGTACTTAGATTTTTTACTTCGTAAGTTGGAAAAGTTGCCCACAATTAAGGAATGATAAAAAGAAAAAGGCTACATTTAATTGTTTGTAATTAAATTTTAGGCATTTTAATTTTCATCATATTTTTGTTAAAGATTGATAGAATTTTCTTTATGTTTTGGAAAATGGCAACTTCATTCAAGACACAAAACATGTTTTTCTTTCTATTTTGATAAAAGGGTAATATTATAGGCATTTTATGATTATTTCTTGGTGTTCTAATTTTTTTTTGGGTTTTTCTCAAAAAAAAAAAAAATCAAAAAAAAATCGTCCAAATAAGAACAACAATTGATTTCAATTTTATTTTTGTAATCTTCTGCCTTTAGTTTTTAATTTCTCTGTCAATCTTTATCTTCTAATCGACTAGTCTTCATATTTTAGTTTTACATTTTCACTTAAATGTACTTTTGCAAGTGCACAAGATATTGATTACATTAGAATTTAAAAGAATTTTTTGCATAGAATAAAAATGTGTAATAGATAAAGATTTAAATGTATTGTAAGCTCACAGAGAAATTATTTAAGGAAAGAACAGTGGTACTTTTGTAGTGTTTAAAAAAAAAAAAGTTGTATTAGTGACTAGTGAGTTAATTAGTAAGAAGAGACCTTTTTTCGTAGAAGTTGCCTCTTGAAAGATTAATCCGAGGCACACAATGATTGGTGGTGTATATGTTATTGCAATTCTATGTTCGTTGTTTGCGGTAATGTAATAGTTGTATGAACTTGTGAAGCATAGACCAGTTGAGGATTTATGGTTATTAACTAGGTGATTTTGATTTCATTTTGGTGTAGATTGTCTGTACTAGAAAATGGATGCTGCTGAACAAAAGCAGAAACGAGTTCCTATGTTGAGGCCTGGCTGTGGATCAAAAGGGCAGAAAATTCGACTATTAACCAATCACTTCGATGTCAAGATTGACAATACTGATTACTACTTCTTCCAATACTCTGTATGTTTCATCTACCTAATCTCTTTTTAAATAGCAATCATGTTGTATAATAATGTTGTTGCGAAAGATGAAATATCTGAAGTACTATGCTCTCTTATCCTACCCCTCAGGTTGCCCTTTACTATGAAGATGGAAAACCAGTTGAAGCAATGAAGGGTGTAGGAAGAAAAGTAATGGACAAGATCAAAGAAACATATAGCTCTGAGTTGGATGGCAAGGAATTCGCTTATGATGGTGAGAAGACCTTGTTTACTGTCGGTTCCCTTCCAAGAAAGAAGTTGGAGTTTACTGTCCTGCTCGACAAGGTCTCATCTGAAAGGTAATTAACAATGCCTTAACAAAGTAATCAAACTGCTTGAGTGCTTGTTACTTTGATACATTGCTTACATTAGTACTGTAAAACATCATTTTATTGTAGGACGGATGGTAAGAGCAGCCCGGGAGGCAATGAGAGTGATAAAAAGAGAAGAAAGCGCGTATCTCAAAGCAAGACTTTTAAGGTGGAGATCAGTTATTCAACAGAAATCCCAATTAAGGCAATAAGTGATGCTCTCCATGGTATAGAATCTGAGGACTTCCTTGATGCTGTCCGGGTTCTGGACATAGTACTGAGGCAACATGCTGCAAATAAGTAAGTTCAAATTTCTTACTCCTTGTTCTTTTTTCATATTTTGTTTCCTCTTTGTACATACTGATGTTCTCTTTTTATACATAAGGGGGTGCCTTTTGGTGAGGCAATCATTCTTTCATGACAATAAAAGGAACTTTGATGTCCTTGGAAGGGGTATTCTTGGTTGCAGGGGATACCATTCAAGTTTTCGAGCCACTCAAAGTGGACTGTCTTTGAACATGGGTAAGTGTTTAGTTTCCATATGTTTTTACAAGGTATATTGGCGTTTGGAACAACACTCGACCCTTAGTGCTTTCTTTGTTGTGACTGTGAGAGCAGATGGGACGCTTACAACGATTGTTAAGCCTGGACCATTGCTAGATTTTCTCCTAGACAACCAGGATATACAATATTCATACGAGATTGATTGGGTGAAGGTAAAAACGGAACTTCGAGGTGCTATTACACTAGTTCATACTGTATAGGGACATGCTTCACTTGAGGGGTTCTGATAAGTGATACTTGTCATAATACCTTGTATAGGCTAAGCGCACTCTGAAAAATCTGAGAGTAAGAGTAGCACCCGCCAATACTGAGTGGAGAATCTGTGGATTGAGTGAAGATATTTGCAGAAAACAGAGGTGAGAGTTATCCATGCTAGCTTTAGTCTTTGCTATATGGTGATCTTTGATAATTTATGAAATGTTCTGTCCTATAAGGTTCACACTGAGGAGGAGATCAGCTGAAATAGATGGAGAGAATTTTGTGGAAACTGAACCAACAATTTCAGAATATTTTGCTAAATATCGAGATATAAATCTAGAGTACTCAGGAGACTTACCTTGTGTTAATGTGGGTAAACCAAAGAGGCCAATTTACATACCAATCGAGGTGATAAACTTGTAGCAATTTTTTTTTTTTTTGTGGTCTTATTTATATTACTCTTATCTTACCTGAACCACTTTATTTTTGTTCAGCTGTGTTCGTTGCTTCCGCTACAGAGGTACACTAAAGCATTAACTGTTCGTCAGCGATCTTCATTGGTAGAAATATCAAGGCAGAAGCCACAAGAAAAAATAAGGACCCTCACAGATGTATGCCTTTGCAATCTTTGTGATTAATTCATTACCACATTCTCATATCTTTTGCCACATTTTGCTAATGCTCGCGTCTTGGCTTCTGGCTAGGCATTGAGGATAAGTAATTATGCTGCTGAGCCACTCCTACGTACCTGTGGCATCACAATCAACAACGAATTTATGCAAGTTGAAGGCCGTGTTTTGGCTGCTCCCGAGGTATCACTGCCCAACCCTCTTCACTCCCATCCCTCTTGGGAAAAAAAACAAAGGGACTTGTTTGTTAAATTTAATTAACCTCTCTACAACAATCTCCTGCATATTTTTTATTCTTGCAGCTGGAATTTGGTGATGGGGAAGATTTTCCAAGAAATGGACGTTGGATTGTAAAGGACAAGGTAGTTCACATTTTCGGTCCCTCAGCTGAGACCTCTTTCTTCCCATCTTTTTAATGTTTGTTCTTTTTTTCTTACAGAAATTTTCAAATCCCGTTACAATTAAAGACTGGGTGGTAGTGAACTTCTCTGCACGCTGTAACATATTCGACCTTTGCAGAGACCTGGTGAAGTGTGGGGAAATGAAGGGCATTGTAAGTTGAACAAAATCATATACTTTGTGTGTGCCTATTGTCCTGTACATCTTTCAGAGCAGTAGTATATTCAGCTAATAATGTCTGTAACTTCTTTTCTTTTTGTTTTTTTCTTTCTATTCAGGAGATCCCTAAGTTTCCATTGTATACTTTTGAGGAGGATCCACAGTATAGGCGAGCACCACCTCCTGTTCGAGTGGACAAAATGGCTGATCAAGTGATGTCACGACTACATGATAAACCCCCTACTATTATTCTGTGTGTCTTTGCTGATAGGAAAAATTCTGAAATATATGGTCAGAAATTCTGAAATACATTTGATAATGTCTGCACATCATATGATTCATATCTGTATTTCATGTTTGAAGTTGATTGATCACACGTTCTCTACAGGCCCTTGGAAAAAGAAAGCCCTTCTTGAACTTGGAGTTGTTAGTCAATGCTTGGCACCTCAACGAGCCAATGAGCAGTACCTCACCAATCTTCTGCTTAAGATTAATGCCAAAGTAAAACATGCTTTCATTGCTTTTACTTTTAGATTTCATACTACTTTTGGTTTATATCTAATTATCTCTTACTTCCTTACAGCTAGGCGGAGTGAATCATCGGCTTGCAGTTGAGCGTAACATTCCTGTGCTCATTGATAAGCCTATAATCTTCGGAATGGATGTCTATCATGGCTCTCCTGGCCAGTCTGGAGTTCCATCTATTGCTGCTGTTCATAAAACACTTAACATTCCTTTGTCTCCTCAGCTCCCTCCCACTGCTTAATTAACTACTAGCTAAACTGGATTTATTTTTCAAATATATGCAGGTTGTGAGTTCTAGGCCCTCATCAATATATCGGTACAGAGCATCTGTCCGTTCTCAGTCCCCAAAGGTTGAAATGATAGAATCATTGTACAAGCCTTTGCCTACAGGAGAAGACGGAGGCATTATCAGGTTTATTTTTTGGACTTTATCCATCAAATAACTTTGTACACTAACTAAATATTAGATGTGCATGATATTTGCTTTTTTAATAGAGAGCTTCTGGAGGAATTCTACAAAAGTTCACGCCCCCCAGTTAAGCCATCACAAGTCATAGTATTTAGGTATGATACCAGATGAGATGCTTTATATTTGGTGTCTATGCAATCTTTAGATCCCATTGCAGAGACTAATATTTATCTTCATACACGATCAGGGATGGAGTGAGTGAGTTGCAATTCAAGCAGGTCCTCAACATAGAGTTTGAACAGATTCTTCAGGTTTGTTCCAAATGTTCCCTAGACTGAATTGTTATATATGTTTTGAATGTTATTTTGAGAATCGTTCCCATTAAGATGTGCATTGCAAATTCTGATCATTTTTCAGGCATGCACAGCCCTTGATGAAAGTTGGTCTCCTAAGTTCACCATAATCATTGCTCAGAAAAATCATCATACCAAGTTTTTCCAACAAGAAAGACCTAAAGACAATGTACCACCTGGTTAGCAAATCTAGCACACTTGCAAAAAATTAAGAATCAGATTTCCCAAAGAATTCAGAAAGTTTGGCCTTATTTGTTGCATTTGTTGTATGCAGGTACTGTGGTTGACAGCAAAGTCTGCGATCCTCGATACTATGATTTCTACATGTGTGCGCAGAATGGGATGATTGTGAGTGAAAGAACTTTTGAAATTTCTTACTCTTAAAAGTAGTAGGATTTAATCAGCTCATCTAGCATTGATCCTTTCATTTGCATTGTCATGCACCGTCTACATTGAACTTGTTTTACAACTCGATACTTTGACATGAATTTTGATACTAATCAAACTCGAATGTTGGTGTCAGTAAATGGTATATGTTCTTGCTCCAAAATGATAAGTGTCCAACCATCTGCAAGTATTGAGGATGTAACAAAGATAGTTGAAATTAATAACATAGCTGTTGGACTATTGTATATTCTAATGAGCTCTTCACATTCTGTAAATCTTCGCAAGTAGTAGCAGACATAATCACAGCATATTCTTCACTGCTGGAACCTTTTCATTTCTATGATCATAATGTGAGTCAAAATTGCAGGGCACAAGCAGGCCAACTCACTACCATGTTCTGCTTGATCAGAATGCCTTTACAGCAGATGAGCTGCAAGAGTTGATTCACTCTTTATCCTATGTGTAAGAAGCTCTTGACCTCAAAAAAACTTGCAATTTTTTTGTGTTCAAAGTTAAATATGCACAAGGACTCTGATTTAAGCGTATACTTTAACACATGCAGGTACCAGAGGAGCACTACTGCTATATCTATTGGTAAATCTTATTGCTAACTCTGGCAAATAGCTGTAAGAAAATTAAGCTCACTTCACAATACTAAGTCTTTTTTTCTTTTTCTCCTCCATTTTTATCCTGTAGCTGCACCAATTCGATATGCCCATCTGGCAGCCTCCCAAGCATCTCATTTCCTGAAGTATGAAGACCTGTCAGAAACATCATCGGGTCATGGAGGTGTGACTTCTGCTGGAAATCCTCCTGTTCCTGAGCTCCCCAAGCTGCATAACAGAGTGTGCAGGTCCATGTTCTTCTGCTAGTCATACCTGTAAAAAGAATGATCTGAAACACTACTAGCCCCTCGGTTTACCCTGAAGTGTGTAGGATATTAGGATATTTCGATGACCACTGTGTCTCTCTTTACACTTTCTGCTAACTGCTAAATAATGCATACAGTTTTGGCTGCAACATACGTGTACAGGTCGTCGTTGATCAGAAATTTTGGATCAAATAATCTGTTGCTATGTTTATGCAGTTTGTAATCTTTTGAATGTTAATGAACTTGATTTTTTATTGATGCTTTTAGTCTGCTAGACTTTTTACTATGCTTGTTCATTAGATAGATTGCACATGCCCCTAATCTTTGGATTTGAGGCATTTTTTTAATTACCTCATACATTAACCCCAAGTTTGCTTGTGATTTTCCCAAGACAATTACGTGTGGGCAAAATAGTTTCCCAAATACTGAGTTTGTTATTTGGGGGTACGAGTACTATACCATGATGTCCTAAAAAACATTTTCTCTAAAATATAAAGTACATACTTTGTGTATACTATTCTCTCCATATTTTTTTTCTTCTCCATTTCTCCATGTGCGGAGTTTTAGGAGAAATAGTAAAAATAAATAAAATCGGAAGTCAAGAAGTGGGGTTGGTGGAATAATAAGATATGATAGTTGAGAGGAGAAATAATATGAAAATATTAAAGTATGATAGTTGGGGGGTCCACTAGGAGAGGAAAATAAGTAAAGTATTGTAAAATGTTTTACAAAAAGAAAATGAAGCAAGTAATAAAATACGGTCGTAAAAGAAAAGTGGAGCAAGTAATAAAAACGGAGGGAGTATAATTAAAATATTTCTTTAAGTCAATCCTAAAGTAACACGTGGCATAATTAACTTGTTAAACAGGTTGTACTGATTTTAATCTCTTTAAAATTGATAATACCAAAGGTTGTAATATTAAGGAACAATCAAAATGTTGTCTTATTTAAATTCTATCGTTCAAAGGTTGTATTACGAAGTGAGTATTATATTTATGATAATTTTTCTACATTAACATAATAAAGAGTAACGCATTGGCAAGCGTAAATTGTAGTGTTGCAAATAAAAGACACAAAGTATGTTCAATCAAAATGGGAAAAATCATTGTGAAACAGAAGTACTCCGTGATAAATTTTTCATACTCCCTTTGTGTTTTTTTAAGTGTTATATCACACTTACCAAATGCGGTCGTGTTTTTTTCAGTGTTACGCTTCCTCTTTTGGCAAAAAAAAATCATTTTAATTTTATATTTATCTCCTCTTACGGTCCGACCCAGACCCACTATTACTCTTTTATTACTTCATCTATTCCCAAGTGATTTTCCCATTTGTGAAAAACACGGAAATCAAGAGAGGGGACATAGAAAAATTAAATTAACAATAAAGTAGGTAAATAATTACTCTCTTCGTCCCTTTTTTATTTAGTCTTATATGACCAATTTTCATGCGCGCGAATTAAGAAGGGGAAGGAGGAATTAGTAAAAGTACATTGAAGAGTTAAATACACGTGAGATTTGCAAAAAAAAAAGTAGAGAGAGAAAGTCGTAGAAGTATATGGAAAAGCTAAATACACATGAAAAAACTAACTTTGCACAAATATTTTTGCATAAGAGGGTAATTTAAAAGTTCACTTAATAAAGACAACGAAAAAAATGAACTTTTAAATATTTGTCCACAAAAAATGACAATAAGGGTAGATCAATAAGAGGAGGGAGTATAAATAAATTAAAATGTCTCTGAAATTATGTGTCAGTCAAAGTATAACATTTAAAAAAAGACGGAGAGAGTAAATCTGAATTTACCTTGTAATTCAATTGCAACCACCTAAGTGTTCTTAATTAAGGTGGAGAGAGGATGTATAATCACATGCACGACTTAAAAACCTACCCCATCCCATAACACAACCTGCTCCATACTCCCGTAACACCAAATACTTCCTCCGTTCTAAATTAAATTATCGCAGCTATTGAAATTTCACGTATCCGAACTGATGTCATACGTACATTATTACATACCAATAACATCACCTCACGTAGTCACGGTCATAGTAATCAAGTCAAGTAGTCAAAGTCTGTAATTCCAAGACATTCTAGACTCTAACCAAGCTTAAAAGAGCAACAAATGACTAAATGAGAGCCAAATTTGGCTAAAGCTTCACTACCTCTGAATAGCAAAGGTTTCTCTCTTTAATCCTTTCTTTACTTGTTCATTTATTCTCAACACTCTATTTATCTTCATTTTCCTCTTCTTATTCTTATTTTTTTTCTTCAAAAAATCATATATTTCTTGCAGAAAAAACTTGTTCTTCATATTCTACTGGGCTTAAGTTATTTGTGAAGAATTTCGCTAGAAAGGTACAATTTTGCTCTATTTTACTTGGTGTTTTATTTCAATTCTTTTCTTTTTGTGTTTGGTGGATTTTTTTTGTTCTTGTGCAAATTTTTATGCATGGCTTCTTTCATTTTTTTTTTCCTTTATGGATTATAACATATACTTAGTTATATTCTTTGTCATTTTGAGCAATGACTTTTTAATAAACAGGAAATAAAATGTTGTTTTTGTTTCATAAAACAAAAAATTGTTTTTGTTGTTTATGTCGTTTGATGATCTCACATAAAATGGGTACAAAGTTTTTTTTTTTTTTTTTTTTTTTTTTTTGAGATGGAAAAGTTCCACAGTTAAGCAATAATAAAAGAAAAGGGTATGTTTAAGCATTTTTAATAATTTATTATGGGTAATCTTTCATATTTTTTTTTTAAAGAATCTTTCATTTTGATAATTTTTTATGGGTAATCTTTCATTTTGTTTTTTAAGATGGATAAATTTTTTCATATTTTGATAAAGATGGTAACTTTTAAATAGTAGTTTGAACAAAACTTTATATTTTTCTTTCTATTTTGATACAGGGTACTTTTTTAAGGCATTTTTTCAGATGACATGAGTAATTATTTCTTAATGTTCTAAATTATATTGAGGTTTCTCATACCAAAAAAAAAAAAAAAAAAAAAAAAAAAAAAAAAAGTATTAAAATGTTTTTCAAAAAAGTTTTTCTCTGTCAAAATCCTAATCTGCCTTAGTTTGAGAAATTATAAGAGTATATTAATGTGTTGAAAGCTTCCAAAAGGTTTTTTAAGGAAAGAATAGTCCTTTTGTAGTAAATTTTTTTAAAAAAGTCGTGTTAGTGAATAGTGACTAGTGAGTTAGTTTGAGACATCGTTTTGTATGACTTGCCTTCGTGACAGATTAATTAAAAACGATTATGTTTAAGAATTGCTGTGTTTTTTTTTTGTGATGGTTGTATATTTCACTTCATTTTACATTGAAGAAAATAAATAAATAAATAAATAAAGTTTGATCTTTTCATATAGACCTTAATTTGACCCTGAGCGATTGGATCTTATGATTATGTTATTCTACCTCTTGGAAATGATACATGTTTATTGTGTGATGGAACTACCTCTAGCAAAAGTTTTAGAACTTATTTATCTCAAATGTCGTTTTGAACGTTTTAACACGAATCAAAGTGGCTCTTAGGACTTCCAAAGCACACATTGATTGGTAACTTGGTAAGTAGAATTACTGCTAGGCCATCTTTGGTGTGTGTATGTATGTGCAATTCTATGCTTGCTGTTCGCGTTAATGTAATAGTTATATGAAATTGTTTTCTCGATATTGTGTTCCCTAATAGTATAAGCATGTGAACTTGTGAAGTATAGAACATTTATGGTGTTTGTTGGATTGTCTGTAGTAGGAAATGGATGCTCCTGAACAAAAGCAGATACGAGTTCCTATGCCGAGGCCTGGCTGTGGATCAAATGGACAGAAAATTCTACTATTAACCAATCACTTCAATGTCAAGAATGCCAATACTGATGGCTTCTTCTTCCATTACTCTGTATGTTTTATCTACCCAATCTCTTATCAAATAATAATGTATTGCAAAAATTGCAACATCTGAAGTATTAATGTATTATGTTGTCTCCAGGTTGCCCTCTACTATGAAGATGGAAAACCAGTCGAAATGAAGGGTGTAGGAAGAAAAGTAATGGACAAGATCAAAGAAACATATAGCTCTGAGATGGGTGGCAAGGAATTCGCCTATGATGGTGAGAAGACCTTGTTTACTGTCGGTTCCCTCCCAAGAAAGAAGTTGGAGTTTACTGTCCTGCTCGACAAGGTCTCATCTGAAAGGTAATAAACGATGCCTTAACAAAGTAATCAATTGCTTGAGAGCTTGTTACTTTGATACATTGCTTACATTAGTACTATAACACATCATTTTATTGTAGGACGGATGGTAAGAGCAGCCCGGGAGGCAATGGAAGTCCTAATGAGAATGATAAAAAGAGAATAAAGCGCGTATATCAAAAAAAAGACTTTTAAAGTGGAGATCAGTTATGCAACCAAAATCCCAATTAAGGCAATAAGTGATGCTCTCCGTGGTATAGAATCTGAGGACTTCCTTGATGCTGTCCGAGTCCTGGAAATAGTACTGAGGCAACATGCTGCAAATCAGTAAGCCAAATTTCTTGTGTTTTATTTTGATATTTTGTCTCCTCTTGTATATCTGATGCTCTCCTTATTTTTTTATATAGGGGGTGCCTTTTGGTGAGGCAATCATTCTTTCATGACGATAGGAACTCTGATGTCCTTGGAGGGGGTGTCCTTGGTTGCAGGGGATATCATTCAAGTTTTCGAGCCACTCAAAGTGGACTGTCTTTGAACATGGGTGAGTGACTAAGTGTTTCCATATGGTTTTGTAACGCATATTGGTGTTTGGAACAACACTCAACCCTTAGTGCTTCCTTTGTTGTGACTGTGAGAGCAGATGGGACGCTTACAACAATTGTTCAGCCTGGACCACTGATAGATTTTCTCCTAGCCAACCAGAATGTACAAAATCCACACCAGCTTAATTGGGTGAAGGTAAACACGGAACTTCGAGTGATACTACACTAGTGCATACTGTATAGGGACTATGTTTTCATGCGAGGGGTTCTGAATTTCTGATAAGTGATAGTGTGATACTTGTCATGGTAACCTGTATAGGCTAAGCGCACTCTGAAAAATCTGAGGATAAGAGTAGAA